ATCATCATCATAAAGCATATTGAATTAGCTTTGTAAAAGTATAAATCACAACTGAGAAATAAATGATGTATACTACTTTCAGTTTCAGTCATACCTCATATAATTTAAGAATTATAACGACCTTTCACATTTAGTCTTTGCTCAGACATGGACTGACACGAATACACATGAACTAGAGGCTGTGCTCTTTTCCCTGGTCTCCTAATAAATAGCATATGAATAAGGCTCATAATCCGGGATTCAGGATGCATTACAGAACCTGAAGGGTTATTTTTGATGGGGGGGGGGTGCGGGTGAGGACAGAAATCATATAACCATGCAGAGAGGACACCAGAAACTGATTTTCAGGGTCCATGATATTCCAGAAGTCTTTTCTCATCAAATAACTTTCCTTTTTGAATAACTATAAGAAAATATCAAAATCAACAAATAACTATGAACAAGAGACACTCTATGGGGGGTGGGGGGCGGGGAAAGGAGGGCTGGGGTGAAAATAGGGCAGGTAATTGTATGGGGAACATAAAAATAAAATTTAAATTATAAATAAATAAATAAAAATAACTTTCCTTTTCTACAGCTTCCCACCCCAGCCATTCCAAACCTGCACCAGTCTCCTTACCCAGCCCGCTGACCTGCTTCCTACCTCAGTGGACTAATTATTAAGACTTGAGATTCCTCAACGCTAGCCACATCAGTCACTTTCTCTTGGTTGCTAAGCATGAGAATCTTCCTTGGATCTCCCTGTCTCTTAGTCACTTCCCCTCGCAAGTCTATCTACTGGCTCCCCCTCTTCCCTTCTTGGTCTGCTTCTCATTCTTCCCATTCCCGGATAGCATGGCATTACTGACACCAGACTTATGAAGTCTCTAGTCAGACCGTCTTAGACTTGAGCTCAAGTCTAAGTCATTTCTACTTGGATGTGGCAGACAACTGAAATTCACTGTGCTCAGATTTTGTCTTCCTTCAAAATCTCTTCCTTCCTCTAGTTTTCCTAGCTAGCGTAAAGGCACCATCATCCACCGCCAAAGCAAAGACAACAAGAGCACAGTCATCACCTTAAGTTCCTCTCCATCACCCTCACTTCCAAGCCACTCTCTCCTACTCTACACAGTATTCTCTCTTGCAGCCTTACTGCTGTTATTTAGAACAAGCCACTCTCAACTTACCAGCGCAACATCCTCCAACCTCTAGTTCTATCTCAAAACCCCCTTTAGAATGCAGTCAGAGGAGAAGACAAATCTGATTAAGACTCCAATATTAAAATCACCAACCCCTCCAAGACATACATGCCACCCACTTCCACCATCACAGGTCCTCAGTTCCACCAGAGGGAGAGTTACCTCACACAGGGCATTTCTTATCTTTGAATTTATCCTATAACAAATAAAATGGGTGTGTTTAACTTCTGCTTGGCATTCTTCAGTTTATTTATGGTTCATTCTAGGTTTTCATGAACCAAAAAGCCACAAATAGTTGATTCCTATGTTTATACTGTTTTACAGCACAGAAAAATTATTTCTATACAAAACCTTGTATAGAACAGAAGAGTATGGTACAGAAAGGATAGCTACATCATGTACTAGGTTTGACTTATAAAGGAAACTTTCACATATAATCTACTTGCAAACACCACGTGGACAGATGTGATGGGATGTTTTGCTTTCTGAGAACAGGGGGAATGTGTTTTCTGATGTTTATCCTTCTCCCTGAAACTGAATCCAAGTGCAGCAAGTGAGGTTTTGGAGATGCTTTAATGACATAAAAATTTTTATGTGTGTGTCCCAGAGGAGGCGATCTTCAATGTTTCATTCGTGAATGGTACTGTCCACTTGGACTTTCTGCAATGAAGGAAATGTCACAGATCTGTACTGTTCTGCACAGCAGCCAACTGACACATAGGGCTATTGAGCAATTAAAATACGGCCAGGGTAAATGAAGGACTGAATTTTTAATTAAATTAAATTGATTAAAGACTGAGGTATAATATAATAAAAAAGATGTTAGCAATTATGTTTCCCTGAAATAATGTTTATGTAGAAATTGAACACAAGTTCTTTTCCTGTTCATAGACATAAAAGATGTAAAAACATGTCACAACTAGAGTAGGTCAGATAATTGCTACTACTGTATTTCCTGAGCTGCAGAAGTCTGAAGAAAATTTAAATTTAAGTAAATACAAGTGGCCAGTGGGTACTGCATTGGACAACAGTTCTGAGAGCATGGTATTACTTTCTGAAACTAATGAGCCAGTATCTTAGCGTAAAGATGTTAATTCACAAGGTTTTCCAAAACACTTCCATTACTAAATTAAGCTCCAAAAATTAGAACTCATTTAGTAGAAAATGAACTACTTTTATTATAACTGAACAAGATACAATTTTAATACATTTTACTAGAAGGATATCTAACTTGACTGCTTAAACAAAGAACCATGAACGGAAGTTCTCTATAGTGTTTTCTAATTCTTGCCACTGCACCATGTTCTTTAAACCTTCATAAAGTTAAAAATGAGAAGGGAGAAGTGAATTTGCTTCAGTAAAGAAGCAGAACAGGAGATAATCTGTATAAAAAGTTCAACTAAAAGGGTAAGCTCAAATGTAAGACAACCTTATCCTTTCGATAGGAAATTAACATTTTTGGCTACCTTAAATTTAAAAAAAAATCTATGAGGATGCAGAGGAAATGGTCAAATGTCTGCTTAAACCTTTAACATATATATATTTAAAATATTATATAAACATAAATTATATTAATTCATAAAACAATTTTATTTCAACTGTTTACTCACATCTTCAACCTCAGTATCTCTGTGGTCACTTGGGTCACTCTGAATCATCAACTTCTATTTTCCAGAACATGTCACCTTTTTCTTTACTAAAACAGCTATGGCAGAGCACTTCCTAAGCCCACATGATACTCTCACTGGGAACCTGAGAGTACCCATTTAGCTGGGCAACATTCTCCCTCATTCATCACTTATATATTTATCAGTTATATAAATATCCCAAACCAGCATCAACTGAGGTTTTTCAGTCCAATATGTATTTTCCAAACAACATCTTGTTTGAAACAAAAGAATCAGGATGAGAGGGCCCCATAACAGGAGAGACTTGAACATGTGGTGATACCCTGTTTTCAGAGGGATACTTTCTGGGGGGACCATGACTTGTAATCTGGCATATATAGTATGCACTTGAAGTTAATTTTTAAGAGGGAAGGCTCCCTGGAATGATCTGGAGGTTTCTTCATGCCTTCTGTAAGAGCTCTCGAAGCTTCCAGATTTGTTTAAAAAAAGCATTTTCCTTTTGGAGTCATAGGCAGATAAAGAACTTCTAGGACAAGTGGACGGGCCATCTCTAATTTCAATCTAACACCACACAACTGAAGACACAATCTTTGCACAATGCTAATCTCTCCTCATCTGAAACACTTGATTGCTTCTACTAGCATGGATGACAAAATATTTCAATCTTCATTGTGTCATTTCCAGGTTATTTTGATCCACCTTTGTTTACCTAATTGGTGGGAACCACCCTGCCTTCTCACCTGAAGGGTTTTGTCCTCCACTAACTGGAGGCATGCCCACCTGGTTTAGCTAAATCTTACTCATGTTTCATAGTTCAGCTTGGAGTAGCTATCTCTTCCTCCCAGAAGCGCCCTTGAGCATGGTCCCTCCATCTACTGAACCCAGGAACACACCTATATCACAGTACTCATCCTACTATTTGTCCATTTCCTCTGCTACGACTACTAGTACCTAACATGGCGTGTATACCATTGCTATGATTTAAGTGCTTTACATCATCTCCTTTATGCCACACAGTAACTCTGTGAACCAGGCAACATTCTTCAGGTGAGAAAGCTGAAGCCCAAGGAAGCCAACGTGCGCAAGGCTCCCTAGGGGGGATAGTAACTCCAGTCACCAGCTGCAAGGCCTGATGGCTCAAAGGGTTCTGCAGTAAATCAGGGGTGTCCTGGGTCTGAACTATGAAGGTTTACCACATGCTGGTTGAGAGAATGATCAGAACAGTCACTACTGAGAATTTATCATTTGGAGGGAGGCTGCGGACTTGACTTCTAGTACTGTCCACTGAGTAATGCTGGTTTGGTAGAGGTTCCCCATCGGGTAAAAGAATTCAACAATAACAACAAAGCCCCCTCCCTTTCTCCTTCAGAACACCTATGAAGGACATCTGGGTGCAAAAACAAAAACTCAAATTTTCACAAATGTGAAACTTTGACTTTGTTTCAGTGACAGAAGCACACATAAATCTCACATGTACAGGAAGGAGCAACGCAGTTGACCTAAAACATACTCATCTGATTTATTTTTGGTGACAAATTGCTCATGGTAAGCTCACCTTTTGGTTTCCTAGTTAAATATTGATTATTAAGGCAGGAGGGGTTTGTAATTCCTATGGAAAATCTAAGTTAGTATGCTTCACATTTAGCACAAACAAAATTAGGCCTACAAAAGGAACCTAGAGGATACTCTTGCCAAAAATGAAATTATAATAGCTAATATTTACAGAGTGCTCTCTAGAGTCAGGCACATACATTATTTCTTTTTCTGATTTCTTTCAGAAGACCCACTTGTAAATTACCATGCATCCCATTTTGAAGAGGAGGAAACTAGGGCTCACAGAGGTTACACGGATAGTTACATAGTTTCAGCGTTAGGTGTATGCAGTCACCAAGCCCCATTCACAACACCAAGCTTCTCCTAATTTGAAGATGAGACGCAAACTTCCCTTCCAATTCCACTTTCACGCAGGGCTGTGGCCCAGGGTGGGGAACCGTGGCTGGTCCTGACCCCACTCCCCGACTCAGGTATTTAACACACTTGTATCACGTAGCAGAAGACAAACTCCGCCTTCACTGTCCCTCTTAACACAGAACCCAGCTGCTTGTTAGTGGGAGTGACCTTTCCAAGATTTCAATCTGCAAGGTCAGAGTTTGGGTAATTTAAGACAAACGCCGCATGGGATTGGCAGACTTACCTTTTGATGCCAGAGCTACACCAGCGGCGAGAGCCGCATTCTAACACCACTTTCACAACTGGTGGGAGAGCTGCAGAAGCCTCTCCTGGCCTCCGCTTCCGCTAAGTCTGAAATGACACCACTACTTCTAGTCGTCAGCTCACTCGGACCGGCGCCTTACCTAGCACATTTTCAAAAATCTTGGAGCTTCGCGAGGACCGCCCGGGCGCACAAATCTTACATTGCTGTCAGGAGTTAAGCCGCCTCAAAGGCAGCCTCCCCGGTCGGTATCCTCCAGCAACTACTAGTCTAACTCTGGGTCTCCCGTGTCACATGCAGAGGTCGATCTCAACCCGTCCACCCAGTCACCATGTGCGAGGTTCAATCTTGAGTCCGGCCCAAAGACATTTCCTTTTCCCTTAAATGAGAAAGAAGGTTGGGACCTGCGCTCCTGCCAGGACGCCCGGCGCGCAGACCTCTCCCGGCGGGGCCCCGAGGCCGCCGGGCGGGACCCAGCGCGGGGCGGGAGCGCCGGCCCCTCCAGGTGCGGCCGCCGACTGCAGGCCACGCCGCCCGCGGCCGCCTGGGACGCGGAGGCCGAGGGCGGAGGCGCGGCCGCCGCGCCCGCGCCCCGCCGGCCCCGCCCGCGCGCCCCGCCCCCACCGCCCCGCCGGCGGGAGCTGCTGCGGGCGCGCGCCCCGCCTAGGCCCGGCCGCGCGCCCGGCTCCCTCGCCCCCTCCCTCCCGCCCTCCCTCCTCCCCCGCCCGGCCCGCCGCCCGCGCGCGGCTCGCGCCCCCTCCCCCGCCCTCCCGCGCCCCGCACTCACTGAACATCCCAGGCGGCTCCGGCGCCCCCCGCCGCCGCCAGCTCCGGGATCGGGCTGCTTCCGCCCCCGTCGTGTCCGCGGCAGGGTCTCGCTCCGACGGCCGGCTCAGCCGGGCCCCCGCGCCCCGCGCCCCGCCGCCCCCGCGGCGGCTCCGGGCTGCCGCTCCATGACTGACTGACACGGAGCGGGCCGCGGGCTGGGCCGCTCCGGCCTCCAACGCGCAGCCGTCTCCGCCAATGGGCGAGGCGCCTCGGCGCTCGGCTGGCGATGCCTGGCGTGCGTGCCGCCCCGCCCCGCCGCGCCGCCGGCGTCGGGCGGAAGGAACCCGGGCCCGTCCCACGTGGTGGCGCCGCCGCGGAGCTCGGGCCTGCCGCCTCGGCCTGCGTCGGCGGACCCTGCCCCGCTCTGGCGGCGCTGAGCTCCCCAACCCGGGCGCTGTGCTCCGTCCCTGCCCGCCGCGCCTCCACGGGGCGGGGCCTGCGGTGAGCGCGTTACTTACGGACTGCCGGCAGGTGCGGCTCCGCAGGTCTGGTCTCCAGGTGAGCGCCTTCCCCGGCCGCCCCTTCCGTGGCCCCTACCTAGAGTCGGCCCGGAGGCGAGCTCCATGCTTTGGGACGGTCGCCCTTCCCCACAGCTGCCTCTTCATAGGGCCGACGTCGAGGGGAGCGCCCTCCTCGGGGGTGGTGCTCAGCCCCGCCCCGCCGTCCCTGCCCGAAGGTGAGCTCCACCTGGGACGACCCCCAGGCCCTGGCCTCGACCCTTCCGCAGCCAGCGAGCGCTGCGGCCGCCGCCCGGGCCAGCTCCTTGGGCAGGCTCCGCCCCTAATGGCTCCCCAAATGCTCTCCCTGATTCTTGTTGCTTGATGTCATTTTTCTCCGCTAGAGTCTGTGTGGCCGCTTAGACGATTCTGCGTTGATATCAGCGGGGCGCTGGGCTCTTCACACCCCCTTGCTGAGGCCACGGGAGGGCGCGGAGACCGGGATTTGGTGGAGCCCCGGCGTCTTTGTAGCCAGTTCTGCAGACACTTGTTAAGTACTTTGTAGCTGTCGCGGTGACTGTAATCTTTTGAAGTTAGAAGTTAAATAAGAAGTTGCTGAATGGGCGGAGAGAGTGCTGACAAAATGGAAAAAAAAACTGACAGCACCTGACTGTTCCTCTTCATCGTAACAGAGCGGAGGGGATACCATACTGAAGGTGAGCGTGCTTCACCCGTGTTCACTCTTTCCATGTGTACTCAGCTATTGAGAGTAATCTCTGAAAGTAGGTGTGTAGGATTTGAGGCTCTATAGATTTTGAAAATACAACTGAGCCAGTCCTAAATTTAGGAAACTCCACTTATATTAGTAGTATGGGATTGCGATCTTTCCCTCGTCCTATTTTTATTGGGGATAATTTTATTTCGATATTAGCTATCTTGAAATTTTTTTTCTCTCGAGGAACTGACTTATTTTTATAGAATAAAAGTGATAACTTAGAGGTTTCCTCTTTTTACTCTAACTTTAAGAAAACTTAAAGCTACATTTACCTCAGTTTTATAGTTTTGTAGGTCGTTGGTATGTTTGCTTTTATATTTTTGATTTTTTATATTCTATTTTTATGATTTTTAAGAAAGATTTATTTATACAAGCACTGGGTACAGTTAGAAGCGCGGGAGGGTGAAAGAAGTCACCAGAGACAGAGCAGGGAACAGAACTGGTAGAGCGATGAAATACACTGCTGAGGGGAGCAGCGGGTGCAGCAGAGAGGTGGCGTGCCATGTGGGACCCTCGGCTGTGGGATCGAACTGGCGTCGCAGAGGCTGCAGGCAGCTTCGCAGCCCAGCGTTCAACCGCTGTGCCACCAGGGGAAGCCCTCTATTTTTATGATTTTAATTGTATAAATATTCTTTGTAGACTTTTTGGAAACTGTAAGTTTATACACTAGTCAATAAAATTATGGTGGGAAGTTACTATTGCAGATGAAAGAACAGTATTTCTTTGTGGACTGAGTTTATACAATATTATTTTTTTTTACTTGGAAAAATACTACTTTCACCAAATAGTACTTGTATGAACTGCATAGTGGAACTGGTTTTAGTACATAATTCATAGTATATTTCAGGGTTTTTGCAGAAGCTTACCTTTTCCAGTCAATATCGTGTGTGAATTATTTATTTCACAAATAATCTGAGCACTTTGGGTTTTGTCCAGTTGAGTTCCTGCACACTCACCCTGGGGAAGTGAGGTTTGATCATAGCAGTGCTTGCACAAAGGTGTGTGCAATCCATCTTCTGCATGATTTTGTCTGAATTGTTCCCAGAAAATCCATGGGTTCAAACATTATGTTTATAGGTTTATGCCCAACAATTCTCTTGATATGTTGTAATTTATTGAAAAAAGTTTGAAAGGTTAAAGTATGTATGTACACATATATACCAGTTGTATAGACATTAAGATATACAATGTTCATTTTCTGGTGCCTGTTGAGTTTGAACATAATACTTTTTTCTATTGTTTTAATTTGTAGATAAATTGCAGCTATGGCTGCTGTTTATTCTGGCATTTCTGTTAAGCTTAAAAGCAAGACTACTTCCTGGGAAGATAAATTAAAACTAGCTCACTTTGCTTGGATTTCCCACCAGTGCTTCCTTCCAAATAAAGAACAAGTAAGTTTAATGTGAATCTTACATTTTATTTCAGCCTAAATTATTTATCACTTGTGTAAATTACACTTTGTGAAAATTGCATATTGACAGTTATAATTTTAAAAGCTTAGAGTAAAGGCTGGAGAAGCAAACATCATTGAAAGTTAAAAATAATGTCAGTGGGAAAAAAAGTAATGCGTCAGGTATTTCATTAACAAAGTTTTTCTGATGGAAAACCTCAGTTAATATTTCTTTTATGTTTGAAAATATCTCTTATTTTTTGAATTAACTATATGCATCAGGGGACAAATTGGGAATTAGGTGACAGTCTGTTTGTAGCTCCATTTGTTTGTAGATGCAAAGTGATACTCCATAAGCAATTGCTTGTTGGTGCTTTGGTAAACATCTTTAGAATTTGATAATTGAAGGTTGGAAAGTAGAGAAGCTTTAGTATTTGTAGTAAGTCATTCTAGTAATAGACTATGAACCAAGAAAGATACCGTTTTTTATTAACATTGCTCAAGATTATTTGGCTAAAAAAATACTACTATTCCAGTAGAGACAATAGTAAAATGAGCTCATGAAAGTGGGTTAACGTACACCCATATGCCAGCATTAAAGAGACAGCACATAATGTGTCAAAGATAGATTACATCTGTTAAATGATGGTGCAATACAGTATTGGAGCACTCTCAGATTTGGTAGTTTCTAAACCTGGTTGCATCTGAGAATCAGCTTGGCAGCTCAAGAGTTCCAGGCAAGTGCTGTACAGGGTCTGATGAAAGGAACAGTCATGGCAGGCAGTTTGATCAAGGGCTTTGCTATCCTTCCCCTGAAAGATATCTTTCCCTTTAACAAGTGTCACAATTTGTATGTGATTGACAGTTCTGGTCTCATGGAGCCAAGAACTCACTACCTTTCCTCATGTTTATGAGTAAGGTAACATTACAGCAATAGAAACTATATAGAGTCAGTCCTTTTCATAAACCTTATGTGCATTATTTCACAGATGACTGTGTCTTCTGGGTGCAGTAAATAGATTGAGAGGTGAAGCACCTCTCATGGGATGTGTCTTTTGACTCATTTTGCTTTTGTGAGTGATTCATTTTTGTGGCCATTGTCTTTTGACTCTTTTTGCTTTTGTGTGTTATTCATTTTGTGGCCATTCTGAGCAATTATGCTTCTAACTTTTAAAATTTGGTGTAATTTAGAGAAGTTAGGATTTAGAAGAAAGTTAGGGTTTTACTTGAAACTTTTTATTGATCCCAGATGAAAACAAAATTAGTATTTTTCTCTTTTTGTTGATTACTTTATGAGCATTGTAATATATGAAAACATTTATGTAAGATTAATTTTTTTTAAAGATTTATTTATGCATACAAGAACTGGGGTACAGGCCCGAGGTGCAAGGGGTGAGAGGATTCACCAGAGACAGAGTGGGGAACAGAACAGGCGGATCTACTGAAATACACTGCTGAGGGGAGCAGCGGGTGAGGCAGACCTCTCCTGACTCACCATGTGAGTATCTCCCTGGCTAGGGATCAAACTGGTGCTGCAGTGGCTACGGATATCTTCATAGGTTGCGTCTTAACCCTTTGTGCCACCGGGGAGCCCCGTAAGATTAATTTTAAAGCAGAGTTTATTATTTTTTTTCTCCTGGAGATTGAATTTGACTATACCTGGAATGTCTCTATAAATGTCCAGCGTCTTTATTTTTTGGTGAAGAAATTTATTTCGAGAGTATATTTCTTCCAAATTCAGGTGTTACTTGATTGGGCAAGACAGTCTTTGGTTGCCTTTTATAAGAAAAGACTTGAACTGAAGGAAGACATTGTTGAAAGACTTTGGAACTATATAGATAACATTCTACATAGCAGAAAATTGCAGAATCTCCTCAAGAATGGAAAGACAATTGACCTTCAGATTTCCCTAGTCAAGGTAATTGTGTTGTCCTGTATGTGTTACATGTATCTCTGTTGATTTCCTGTTAATGCTGGAAGTTTGTTTCAGGGTTAATCACTTGAAGATGCAACAGTGTCAAACTAGGAGAGTGAGTAGAAGGGAATACTATTATTAAACTTACACCACTTGATAGTTATGGAATGCATACTACATGTTCTCAACTGTGCTAAGCACTTTGTTATTTAATATTCAAGAAAAACTTAGGACTGTTTTCATGAGCTGGTCGTTGATTATCTTTTAAATTGGGAAAAACATCCAGTAAATTATACTACTTTATGATTTAAAATTTTTCACCTTTCTGTTGGCCTTGAGGGAGAGCAGAGGCCAAAATCTGCATAGAACTTTCCTCAGGTTTTTGACTGAAAGTGATTTTAAAGTCTCAGACCAGAATTATGAAATTCATTGTCAAAACAGTAGTTTTAAATACTATGAGACTCATTATTGACAATAGAAAGCACTAATAATGAGCTGGTAATGTGCTCATTACAAGCCAGTAACTGGCTGAAAGTCACATATCTGGTTATTGGCAGGATTGGGATTTGAACCAGATCTGCCAGATTACAAAGTCTCTGTTTTTACTACCATGCCGCCTCTCCTAAACACGTATGCAGGCCGAAAGTCAGTAGAGGTCAGTTACAAGATTTTAATAGTTGAATTGCTTGAAATTATGTTCTATATTATGTGTCACTTTTAGAAGTAATAGACTAGTGGTCCCTAAAGTGGGTTATTCAGAATGATTCTTTGGGAGTGTGGAAAGAATACCTTATAATAGCTTATGTATTTTTTAAAAAAGTCATTTTAATTTTTATGTACTCTTTATAATCATATAACATATTAGTGCTATAGTTCTTATACAATTTGAGAAGAAATTATCCTCAAATGATTCTGTTGGTTGTTCTTATTGGGTATAACATGGAAAAAGATTTTGTAGGCAAGTTGTCTAATCAGAAAAATGTAGAAAATACTGAAATAGTATATTGACATATAAGTGTCCACAGCCAGCAGTTATTTGGGTGGAAATAATCACACCCATATAATTGTAGTACTGATTACTGTAGCATTTAGGAGAAATCTCATTCTTAAAGGCTGTAAGACTGAGAGAGCAAGCCACTTAGCCTGTGAGTGAATTTAGGAATCTGCCCAGCCCTCGTAATTTCTGGTGTTTGTGAATTTCAGAATTTTATAAGTAGTAGATTGTGCAGGAACTGGAGACATTTGCTTTTCTCTCTGAGTGACTTTTGCTTTGACTTTTAAATAGAAACAATATAATTGATTGTTAATAATGCATTTTGTACCCAAGGTCACTGTAGCATCTAAGCTGAATTCCAAGTTTCAGATCTTGGAAAAGTGATCTTTACAGTTTAAGTCTTACAAACTATATCCCTTTAAAAAGACATAGCAGATTTATAAGGACTCTGATTCCTTTTTGAACTTGTATTGGTAGGAGCTAGATGTGTTAATGAATTAAAACAAATGCTTTGCCTGCCTTTGGTGAGCTAAGTCCATTAAGCCCATTTAGATGTGATAATATGGGCATTTCTTTCTCATCAAGATGAGGACAAGGAATTGATTCTGTTGTGTTCTTTTGTGTGTGTGTGTAAGTTTAGGGTCATTAATGAATTTTCTTTTTTTATGCTCAGACCATCAATGAGAGAATAACCGACTTTTCTCTTTCGGGATCCCAAAGAAACATCTGTGCTGTGCTGAGCTGCTGCCAGGGCATCCTCTCAACGCCCGCCCTTGCTGTCATCTACACAGCTAAACAGGAGCTGATTGTGGCCTTGCTGAGCCACCTGTGCTGGCTGGCTTGTAGGCAGCCAGAAGGAACCGTGGTAGCCCAGTTATTTGAGGTCATTCACCTGGCCCTTGGCCATTACCTCTTGATCCAGAAGCAGCAGGTCAATCCACGACGTGCCTTTGGAGAGGTGACTGGACACCTGCTGCAGCCCTGCCTGGTTCTGAGGCACTTACTTTCAGGAGGCACATGGACACAGGCCAGCCATGGTCAGCTGCGGCCAACATTGAGCAGGGATGTCAGAAATCAGATTGAGACCATGCTTCGAGGGGGAGCTTTTCAGCCTGAGCTGCTCTCATCCTACAAAGGGGAGCTCCTTGACCAGCAGCAAGATGACTCAAAGATGGGGACCATGAAGAATCTTCTAGCTCCCTTGGATACCGTGATTGCCAGACTGGTAGATGCTGGTTACTGTGAACCATCTCTTCATGCTGCTGTTGTAGCCAATTCAGTGGCTTTGCTATATAAGCTTTTTCTAGATTCTTATTTTAAGGATGGGAACCAGTTTCTCTGCTTCCAAGTACTCCCGAGGCTGTTTGGCTGCTTGAGGATTTCACACTTGAAGGAAAAGCAGATAAAAACCCTGACTATGTCAGATTGGACCACAGAACTCCTGGTTGTGGAACAGCTGCTGAACTCGGTGACCACCAACAACATCTACAACATTGCAGAGGATAGAATCCGGCACGGAGAGACTCAATTCCACTTCTACCGCCGTTTGGCTGAGCTGCTGATAAACCATTCACAAGCATCTGTGCCAGCCTGGTTCCGCTGCCTCAAAGTTTTGATGTCTCTGAATCACTTGATTTTAGAACCAGATCTGGATGACCTGCTGGCTTCAGCGTGGATTGATGCAGAAGTAACAGAATTTCGAACCAAAAAGGCCCAGGAGATGCTTATTCACACTCTTTTCCAGACGTATGCTAAACTCCGACAAGTATCCCGATTGTTTGAGAAAGTTTTGGGGGTGATCTGTCTTCCAGCTGCAGAGATGCTGAGGCAACCTGTACTGGCCTCGGGCCCCTCCACAGTGCTCTCTGAGTGCCTCTTGGAGTTGCCTCTGAGTCAGATCTTGGACACTTGGTCCCTCCTGCTGGACCAGTTCCAGTCTTTGGTTTTACCTTCTTTGCAGACTGATGTGGACATGGCCCTAAAGTCACTGTCCCTGAGCTCCCTGCTACACTGCATCATGTTCAATATGAAGAGCCTGGACAACAGCACACCTCTGCCTGTTGTCAGAAGAATGCAGCGCACCATGGAGAGGATGCTCCGAGAGCTTGTAAAGCCCCTGCTGGACCTTCTAGACCCTCAGGGCCCAGAACCTGAGTTGTGGCTCCAGAAGGTTAGTGACTCTGCACTCCTGCTCGCTTGCACCTGGGCCCAGGTTGACACCATGCTCAGTTTAAACTGCAGCCAGTATCACTCTTTGGCTGAGGCCCTTCCAGATGTTGATCTGGAGATTTCCGACCTCCCTTCATTGCTTCCAGGTATAGAAACACACCTTTGGAAGAAGATAGAAAAGTTGACAGCACAGTTTGATTCCCTTGGCAGGCATTGCTTAGAACAGCTCTATCTGCAGAAAATGAAACGGACATTAATGCATGCTGGTTTCCAGTCTGAAGGAGCTCTCCACGCTTTGAGGCACGATGCTGCCTACATTCTCAGTGCTGGCAGAGATAGCTTGAATCATAGGGCAGCAGCTTCCTGGGATGGCCAGGTAGGGACAGTGAGTGCACTCACATACCCCATAGCACACTGGCACTTGATTGTGTCGAATCTCACAATTTTATTGCCCTATCTTTATCCAGATGATATGAAGTACTTGGCGAGTGTCCTGCTAAGCACTCTACCTATAAGCAAAGCCCAGGAAGGCTCAGCAGATGAGGAGCCACATATCACACTTGAAAAAATATCCCAGGCTATTTTTCACAGCCCTCTCTTTCCAGAAATGCAGTCCCTACATTCTGCTTTCTTAATGCGCCTGTCTGCAAGGTGTACTAGTATTTTGTGTTCTGGCGCCCAGACTGAAGCATGCCACCTCCACCAGCAGTTGCCTTGGCTTTTTGAAAAGGACCACGTGGTTGTGACTCTTTGGGAAAACAGATTTGCAAAAGTTGGACCTGAAGGTGTAGAGACAAGAGGAGAAATTGCCCAAAACTTACTATCCTTGATCAAGAGTGACTTCCCCATTCAGCTGGAGGGAGAACAATTAGAAAGCATCCTGGAGCTTTTGGAAGTTATTTCTGCTCTACAACTGGATAGTCTCTCGACTCCCTATCACCTCCATTATTTTCTTGTGTTACTCTCCATGACCATCGCGGAGTTGGGAGACTCTTGCTCCTCCTCACTCATCTTGAGGTTTTTGATGACTTGCTACCAGCTTCTGGGCCATCTACAAAGGGGGAAAAGTGCCCGCTCAGTGCTCAAGATTATGTATGCTAGTGATATTTTTGAGATTGTACTGACCTCATTGTTCAAAGCCAGTAGTAGATTTCCCATTGCTGTGGATGACCCCTTTTGGTTGGAATTCCTCCAGGTGGTAGGGACATTCTTAGAACAACTGATGCGGATGATTGTCCAGATAAAGCTGAACTTGGTGCTCAATTTTGGGAAAATCGTTGCTTTTCTCTCACATTGCAAACTGTATACGGAAGCAACTTCAGGCAAACAGTTGGAAAATCAGAATCTTCTGGGTAGGCAGCTCCTTCTGCTGTCTTTAACCAAGTTGTGCCAAGTCCTGGGGCCTTTTGTCAGAGAGCCAAAGCAGCAGCACGAGGTCCCGGAAGGGCTGCCAGAGCTGTTGCACCAGGCCATTCTCCAGACCGGAGCCCTGCTGCAGCTCTGCTCTGCGGGCAGGGTGCAGGCATGGCGCCTTCCTGCTGCCTTCATCTCCTCGGTTGTCACGCTCTTAGAAGCACATGTGGGCCAGGACTCCGGGTACAGACGGCTGGAGCTTTCCCCAAAGACTGATGGCACGCTGCTCTCCCATACTGCCCTCTACCAGGCCGTGTACTCCCAAATACTGTCAGAGTTGCCGGGGCTAGCGGGAAACATTCCTTCTTTCCAGGCAGCTGTGCGCTTTTTCACTCTCTTCTTCTTGAAGCCAGAACTCCATCCCAAGAAGGATTCTGTTTTTACCTCCACGTTTCATTCTGTGAGAAAAGTTCTCGCAGGTAAGATATTTTCTCTTGAGCTAATTCTGTACTGTACAGCTTTTGGTAAAGGGGTAGCTAAGGGGATGGCAAGGTGGGTTGCTGCCCCTGTTCCCCCTTTTGGAACAGGTGTACAAAAGGTACCACCTGGTGAGCAGTGAGGATACCTCCTTTCCAGTTGACTTCCAGGGATTCACCCCCAGCGCTTGCGTCCTCTGCTGCAGAGTAGTGGACCCGCCTGTTGTTTTCCTGCTTTTCACAGTCTTGTAGGTGTGTTTAGCACCCTGGGTTTTTGTATATTTTGGGGATTGTCCTGGCTTACAGTTTTGAAACCCACTACTGTTCTCTTACATCCCGGCCCTGGCTGATCGTGTCCATCTTACTAGGTGACATTTCTGGATCAGATTTTCAGTGCCATCAGTTGACTTAAGAAAGATATAAAATCTGTCAACTTTTAAATGCAAAAGGGAACCTCATACAATTCCTTGCAGACTTGATTTCAATCCCAGGTCTCAGTGTGGTGCTCAGCCATTGCTGGGGCTTTGGTGCTAATTGGGCAAAGGCCCAGTTGATGTCATTGTGGCGTTTAGTCAAATGTCACTCTTCCAGGCCAGCTAATCAGAGCCATAAGCCGGGCCAGGCTTTTTATACATGAGGACTAGGTAGCTGCTGTCCCCCAGGTCAAAGGATAATGGGCCACATTTCATCCCTGACTGTGTTAAGATAGCACATGTCACACAACACAGTCACCGTGTTCTCTTTTTGTTTTGATTGTTATTGAGGTGTTAGGGTTAGTTAGGTAGCCATTGGAGGTGAGGTTGGGGAGGCCATCAGCCAAAGCTAACCCTTAGAACACATGGCTGTCTGCTGCCCGGTGGAGAAGCTCCGACAGGCGAGATGGGAACAAAGGCACGTTCAGATAGGAACGTGTTAAATGGGTCCTTGCAGGCGGTAAAGCCTCCTGGTCTGCCTGGGCCAACGCCAGACTGAAGTGTGGCTTGAATAACTCTGCTCTTGTGTCTCTTTCAATAGCCTTTCCGTCACTGCCTTGATTGTGGATCGACTGAAAGGCTTTGTTGTCACATGTTCTAGCTTATTCTGGCAGCAACTCTTTTAGGGAATGCTGTTCACCTTCTCAGTGGGGGCTAAAATTTAGTCTTTTATTAATGCTAGTTACAATGTTGAAATAAACAGCCTAAGAAGTGGCAGCTGGTGGTCTGAAGCTGGTCTCTGTGACACTCCCCACCCCCCTTAAAATTTTTTTTCTTTCTTTAGGCAACATTGATTTACAACAGAACATGATTTAGGGGTATAGTTCCCACCTCCTCAGTTGTTTGTCCCCACACCACAGCCACCAAAGCACCCATAATCCCTTATCAAAGACAATTGGGTCCCTCCCCTGTTTGTTTCCACCTCCACCTTGCCTCTCTTTCTAACAGCCTTATTTCTGCAGTCATATTTCTAGGGTTTTTTGGGGGTTTAGTTTTACCAGTTCCTTTGTTATTTTTTTCCTCTATGTTCCACATGAGTGGAATCATTCAGTACTTGTTTCTTCCTCTTACTTCACTTAGCATTATTCCCTTCAGTTCCATCCATGTTGTTACAAAGGGCAAAACTTCGTCCTTTTTTACAGCTGAGTGGTATTCCTGTGTGTGTGTATGTGTGTGTGTGTGTGTGTGTGTGTGTGTGTGTGTGTGTGTGTAAACACATACTGCATCGTCTTAATCTACTTCACTGTCAATGCACATATTTAGGTTGCTTCCATAACTTGGCAATACCCCTTTGTTACACAGAAAACTCTGTCCTTTTCCCTCCAACCTGAGTTGAGGTGGTCTCTAAGTACTGTGTCCCTGATGTATTGTGCCTTTGAGCCCAGGGGCAGAGCCTTGGTTGTGGTGGTAGTGATGGTGTGTTGTGAGGCCAGCTGCTCTGGGGCCCCCTCAGATCACAGGCACTGGTGTTGCTGCTGGATCCAGGCCTCATATACTGGAGCTCTGTTAGACTCTGCCTGGAGACAATACTGGAGTTGTGAGAGGTCTGGAAGAAAGGCCAAGTGAAGGGTGGTCCAAGATTTGGGACAGGAAGGAGTGTTAAGGTTGGCTGTGGATATCTGAAAAGTGGCCATCTGTATTCCCAAGTGATTCAGGTGGGTTTCAGCTCATAAAAATGAACATTTATAAGGAGTCCTTCTGATGGTGGAATGGACTACCTCAATTCAATTACAAAAACCATTACTTAAAACATGGTTCATGTTTGTGTGGAGCTATATCCTGTTAAGGAGATGGAGTGTTGATGTTGGCCTCTCTAGTTAAGTAAACAGACATTCACAAAAATTACATGAATCACAGAATAATGAAATGCTCTAGAGGGATCCAGAGCCATGGAACTTTGGGTTGAGAGACTGCATGCAGGCAGAGCATTAGTAAATAGTGGTCTTGGAAGGATGGTAGGACAGGTGGCCATGGCAGGGGGTGCTAACATGTGTGGTTGACACAGTCCTCTGTGTTACTTGCCAACCACAGGAGTTGGGGCCCTGTGCCCTTTCACTAATGAGGGAAGTGAGGCTCAGAGAGGTCATGAGTCCAGGGTCTTACATCTTGTGGGAAACTTGAGCCTAGATCTTAATCTTGCAAAGCCTTTGGAGTCTGCTGCTGCCTATTTCATCACTGGCTACCCTGGCTTATTTCTCCTGTCTATTGTTTATCACATCTGAACAGCTTTGGTTTTTTTTCCGCACAGATCCTGCAATTCCAGCTCATGTATTTCAGGATATTGAACCTCATTTGGGAATCTTGTTCACCCAAATGTTAGAGGTTGGGACCACGGAGGACTTTAGGATGGTGATACAGTGCATCCTGCAAGGACTAGATGTCAGTAATGCATGGAAGGCGGACGTGCAGGTGGGTAGCTCCTTTCTCCCTTCATGGTAGCCACATAAGTGACATTAGCTTAAGTGGGAAAACTTATTTGAGAAGAGGTATCACCCCTAGCACTAAGCAAACACAGAATCAAACGGATAGAGCCTGTAGGCAAAGAGGGAGCTTACAGAAGGAGCTCTGGCCTCTGGATAGGCCTGGGACCTCTCCAGTGAAAGGGGAATTTTTCAAATTATAACTCTTCTTAGTATATTAAATACTAAATGTTATATACTCTTAATATTGATACACAGAAAAGCTATATTCTGTTCAAACTTTGCTTAAGACCTCTCCCATCATAGTTTTCGAAAAACCTGACTCGATTTGGTCACACTGCCCAAACCCCATCTGAGAATCACTCAGTTTAATGGGTTTCCTCCCTTTTTTTTTTTTAAAGATTTATTTATTTATTTATTTATTTATTTATGCAAGCACTGGGTACAGTCAAGTGAGAGAGGGTGAGAAAATTCACCAGAGCCAGAGTGGGGAGCAGAACAGGCAAACTTGATGAAGTACACTGCTGAGGGGAGCAGTGGGCGGCAGGGGAGGCTTGCGTGCCATGCGGGACCCTCGCCCGGCGGCCGGGGATCGAACCGTGCTGCAGAGGCTGCAAGCAGCCTCGCAGCCCAGCGCTCAACCGCTGCGCCACCAGGGGAGGCCCTTAACTGGTTTCCTTCTGAACTTTGCACCTTAGATTATTTTCTAGTTGCTAATCAAACCCTGCATTTGCGTTGGGCCTCCCCTGTTTTGGAGCGCTGTTGCATGGAGCTCACCACCTGGAGTTTGTGCCTAGACAGCTCTGTGCCCTGGACCTGTCAGACGTTGCCCCACTTACACAGGAGGGACAAGGGGCCAGGTTTTCAGATCTTCTAGTTCTGAATTTTTTCCTGTCTCATAATTGACTTCTTGACTGCTGGTGACCATCAACACAGAGGGGTTGGGTTTGATTTGGATGGGAGGAATGCTGGAGGTGGGTATTTAGGTCAGGGGGCTCAGCAAGGAGTACTCACATCGCCTTTATGTGAGCAGGAGGCCTGCGTGGACTGGAGCTCAGCTGCTCCACGGCAGCATCCTCGCCCCTGGGACACTTGCCCAGCTCTTTCTCTCGGAGTCTTTACTGTGTGCCCTCTCACTGACTGTGCCATGACTTTGAGAAGGCCTCTTAGTTTCCTTTCAGGAAACCAAGGCAAATCCATGCATTTTCATTTAAACTGGTCAGATAATCTGAGATGACTCAGCATTCAAAGATGGAGAGGTGGGTCTCTCTGGTGGCGCATGTGGTTAAGATGCAACCTATGACGCTATGGGCAGCCACTGCAACACAAGTTTGATCCCCAGCCAGGGAGTTACCCACCCACATGGCTCAGCAGACCTCTCCTGACTCACCTGCTGCTCCCCTCCGCAGTGTATTTCGGTTGCTCTGCCTGTGCTGTTCCCCACTGTCTCTTGGTGAATCCTCTCACCCCCCCCGCACCTCTGGCCTGTGCCAATTCTTGTATGTGTAAATAAATAAATCTTTAAAAAAAATACAAAGATGGAGAGGATTTGGATAGAGTGACCCAGAGTTGGGGACATCATGGAAACAGGGTGGAGGGTGGCATATGCACAGTGCAGTGAACATGTTGGACTGCTGGGAGTGGTGGGCATAGACATGTGAGAAATTGGACTGGCAAGGGGTGCCAGCCACAGGCCATTGGTTCCTGCAGACAGGAGGGAGGTGGTTCCCGAGTTGCAGGCGGAAGTGGGAGGTGAGGAAGTAGGCATAGGATAGACCCAGCCAGAGGGATTGAGAGAGGGAGAGCAAGAGCAAAGGGCCAAAACCAGAGTTTTGTGGCTTGTGGGTCTGCAGTGTTAGGGGAGGAGGAGGCTGGCGTGAGGCTGGCATGAATGGTGGAAGATGCCCAGCATGGGGTCATACCTTACTGATGAGGGCACTCAGTGACGGTAGTTCACTTCCCACAGTTTGAAACCATCACCTGTGATCCTGGTGCCTAACCTTAATTGTTTTACTTTGTCCATGTTTCCTTCTGCCTCCTTTTCCATCAGTGTATATGTTCTTGCCCAGGTCAGTCAAAACCTCAGTCACCCCCTTTGGCACTGACTTGACGAGATAGGCTCTGTATACTCAGATCCCTGTTCCTGTTTGTGCCTCTTTTTACTTCATTATCTGGTGCATTCATATTTGGTTTAGTGGGATGACTACTGGAAAGGTTCTTCTGTTGCCCATTTCTGCTCATCTTACTCATTTATTCCCTCACTGCTTGGTCATGTAAAGGACATTGCCCTCAGAACTTAAACCAAACCAGGTTCCGTCCTTGCCTCTGACACGGGGCTTCTAACAGACCCGGCTTTTTCACTTCAGCACCAGTGACTGGACTTCTTCCAAGGTGGGTTTCTTAAGAGAGTTGGCTATTTCTGTTGCTAAGTTTTTCCCCTTTTGCCCTAGACCATTTTGTCAGCTGTTATGTTGATCAAGTTGCTTCTGAACTGTCTGTCCAGTGGAGAGAAAGCGAGTATGTTCTGGCGTGCGTGCCCCCAGATCATCACGGCTCTAACTGTGAGTACCCCCGAGAGTTGTGTTTTCCTCATCACCTCTCTCCCCAGAGATGGAGGCAGGTCTTTGCTTCTGCCATTTTCAGGTTTTATGCTGAATGTGTTTGTAGGGTTGTGTCCTGAAGAAGACTGAGAATGCTTTCTTGTCAGTGTGTCCTGTCAGTGCTTCTGTCTGTCTGCATGTGCTGGTGTCATCAGTAGCAGACGTGGTGTTAGTGGCGGTATGAAGGGCCACTGGGAGCACTGGGGAGCCCTCGATGGGCAGGAAGGGAAGGAATGTGGTGACAAAATGAGACTATTGTGGAGACAGTTGTATAGAGGAGATGAGAAGGTATTTGAGGGTTGGCTTTATCCCCACAAAATTTTGTGGTCATTTAGCACATTAGTGATTCATTTGTAGGGGTGTGTGTGTGTGTGCATGTGTGTGTGTTTAAAGTCTATGAATCAGGTGAGCAAAAATTGACATTATAGAATGGGATAGTAATCTTGCAGATAGATCATTGTTACAATCCTTTCTAAATGTTTGATCTGGCATCTGGTAAATATATACTAGCGTCATTAAAACAAAAGCTAAGTTCAAATTGGAACTGTCTCTATGTTTCTAAAGAGTCAGGCATCAATATTCTTCTCTTGAACTGAAAAGAGTAGTAGCTGCCTTACCATTGTTTTTAGCCATAATTCCAGCTTAGTGCTACCCACCTGAGAGAATTGCTCTGGAGCAACATACTCTCAGGGCAAGAGGAATGAAGAAATACTGTTAATATTCTTTCCTGTTCTTTTATCTCGTTGCTTTGTTATTTTCCTGGGAATCTGCATTGGTGGGTGAATCCCCTTTATCTAGTATATGTAGTGGACATCAGCGAGAGGAGTGCAGGGGCCATAGTGGAGGAAGAGGGTCCTCTGTGGTGCATGGTTAGTGTTGTCAGTAAGCATAGTTGGTCTGTATTGACATAAAACCTAGTCTGGAAACCACTATGGTAAATCTAAGGGGCATAACATGAAGTGAGCCTAGCAGAATACCCAGGAAAAAAAACATTGCGAGAGATAGGCCCAAAAGGCCTCACCAGGGGTGCTATTTATAGGTGGCAGTGAAAGGGGGACCACATGTAAGCTCTCCTGGGTTGCATAGGGAAGTCTGTGAGCTATCTTCCACCTCTCTTTAAATGCTAGAATAATAATTTAATGTTTTTAGAGCTGGTTTTTAACAAATGAAGTTTAATTATAGTCCTGCAGAACTAATGATCTTTTGGGGAAAATATGGTTATGTTTGTCTGAGGTAAAGTTTTTCTGTTCTGAGAAATTGGATGAACTTTTTTTATAAGAAATAATGTCTCTTTGTGGTAGATAAATCCAACCAAAAGTGTGGACTGAAATGGGAAGCCCATAGTAGGTCGTCCTTGGAGATTAAATCCCTGGCCTTCAAAAATAAACAGACAACTATAAACCAGAAGCATTCTGCAGGGGAGAGGGAGAAAGAGGGATCAAAATGAGTGAGGGAAGAACACAAGGGACTATTGGTGAAGGTGCACGTGTGAATTGGTGGTGGAAATTCTGTGGGGATTACACCTAAGAAAAGATAGCAAACATTGTAAAAAAAAGTGAACAATTAAGTAAAATATATATAAATAAATTATAAAAAAAAAAATCCCTGGCCTTCATGTCTTTTCAAGCTGCCCACTGACCACTCCAGTTCATCTTGACGTCTGGACAGTCTTATTTGTCACTTCAGTTTTTAACATCTGTCTGCTTCAATTTTTGTGTTATTTGGGGGGAAATCATCTTTGTTTCCTTGCCTTTATTCCTTCTTGCCCCATAGCTGCAAAACCGAGAGGCTTGTCAGGAGCAGCCTGTGCCCCTCAACGTGGTTGGGCCCATTTTGGATGTTCTGGCTGCGCTGCTGCGGCAAGGGGAAGACAACATCAGCAACCCACACCATGTCAGCCTGGCCTTCAACATCCTGCTAACGGTTCCTCTGGACCACCTGAAGCTTCCCGAGTATGGGACCATTTTCCCGAAGGTGCACAACGTGCTCTTCTCGATCCTGCAGTGTCACCCAAAGGTGAGGAGGAGGAACAGGGCACCAAGCAGCCTTTTTCTTTGTTAACAGGGTGATGTCAACCTTCAATAAAATGGCAAACTAAACTGTTGCAGGGTAATAAAAAAATGACTTGCTAAGTAAACTGTCTGGCTCCAGTAATTTCCAGGGCCAAAGTGGTTTTTCAAGCACAGATATACTTAATCCTCTCATAGGACTCTCTGAGTGAGCTCACCTTGGTTGGATCTGATGTTTGAATAGTGTTTGTGTGCTGCCTGGCTAAGGAAGCTCCGTACAAATGACTCGTTTTTTTTGGTAGTCCATGTTTTTACTGTCTCTCACTGGCTTAGATCTTTCTTTTTTGGATTTACGATTCAAATGGGTATAGGAAGTGAGGCATAGTTTTGTAAATGCTGCCTTTTATATTAAACTGAGACCAGCAAAAAATACCCCATGAAAAAGATCTCAGTTCAGGCTGGCATGTGTTGAATATTTGTTCTGTGTCTCATTTTACCCCAACGGCAAGTCTGTGAGAGGTGGTAATCCCATTTTGTTGGCATAGAAACTGAGGTTCAGAGCAGCTAAATGATTTGACCAATGTCACCCAGCTGAGTCTAAATCTTGGATTCAAGACTGTTGGTTTTTCAGCTAGCTTCTTTTCACTGTGCAACTGCTACAGATAGGATGCCTGGGAACTCATAAGCAGCAAAGATACATTTACACAGGCACATTCAAATATTTGTAAGTGTTTTAGGTTATAAGGTTAGAGACCTGCCAACAGTGCAGTTTAAAAAAAATTATTCTCTGTCCAACTAAGACATTCATGACATTGGGACTCACTCCAGTGCCTTCCCCAGTTAACAATTGCCTTTGGCCCTACCTATTGGCATCTTAGTTATCAAATCTCGCTGCTGATGGTGAAATTTTTATATGACCATAACCTATAAATGCAAAACAAATCAATTACAAACAAATTGCAGATCTTGCAAAAGATGCAGGATTTCATGCAGTTGATGAAAGTAATATTAGAAAGCTATGTGAATCTCCCACAAAACCACAAATAAATGACATTTAACAGAATTAGACCATTTAATGAAAGGTGAAAATTGACTAAGATAATCACATCATTACAATAAAGAATGATGTAACTAATAATGGTAGCTCTCATATGTTGCCAGTGGGATAGAGTCAGGGGGAGAAGGTAGCGCTGGTGATGATGGCATAATGGTGATAAGAGCACCAGGCTACAGTGCGAAGATAAGTCTTAAGGGTACATAGCAGGAGGTCACACAGCCAGCGTTCCCAGCAGAACAATCATAATTGGTGCTGCTGTGAGCACTGTACATGCTTTCACTTATTTAACACTCTTGTCAACCTATTAAGCTCATTTTGCAGAGGAGGAAACAGGCAGAGAAAGGTTGACAGTTGGTCCAGGATCACATATTAAGCCAGGGCGTGAATCCGGTGTGTTCCTGAACTTGGTTTCTGAGAGGCCCTTGGAAAATTTGAGGAAGCTCTGCAATGTTTTTACAAAAACAGTGCTGAAATTGCTGCAACAGCTGATACTTTGATATGAAGGGTGTGTTATGCCCTGAAGGATTTGTTTGACTAAATCATACCAAAGTGAAGAATCCCAACACGATTTACTCTGTGTTCGTTCTAAGAATTAGAGCAGCACCGTCCAACAGAATGCCTGCCATGATGGACATATTCTCCAGCTGCTTTGTCCAGCACAGAAACCACTAGCCTCACGTGTCTCGACTAGGTCTGGGTTTTAATTTTAATTAAGATCGTTTTTATTAATGTGGCTTCATGGCAGCTCTGTTGGACAGTGTGTTGTTTTGATCACAGTGTAAGGATAGTTGAGTATAGAAGAAGCATGTTTTACAGTTTCAATGTCATTTTTCCAGGTAAAAGCCTAGTCAGAACTTTGCACTAAAAATGAGAAGTTTAACTCCCCATTTTAAATGGATTGCTTTATGTAGTCTTTTTCCTAATGCCGAATATACTTGAATACATTGGCTGCTATTGTTCTTCCTTTTATTTATTTATTTTTTAGAGATCTAATTGACTTTACTAAAGGATTTATGAATCCAGCAGCATCCCATCTAGATACCACAAGGGCTCACACTAAGTTGGAGGTATTTATAGATGGAAAGAGCTCGGAGGCTGAAGGGCCCTTTCCATGCTGTGCTCTGCCATTGCCATGCCCCTGCCTCAGTTTACCCTCCTGTCGAATGATGATTCTGGTGATCTGACCTCCCATGTCTCTTCCAGCTCCATCACCCTGACTCTCCTCTTCACAGGACTCATTCTTGGGGGAGACTGCTCTAAGAATCAGAGTTGAAGATAACAGTTTCCTCCATGGAGCTATTCTCCATGTGCCTGATTTTCTTTATTTCAGCTTAGGGAGGGAAAAAGATTAATTTGTAGAAAATTCAGTTTATCTTCAGTCAGATTGGAAGCTAACCTCAAATATTTCCCAGAAGTTGTGTTATCGTTACTGAAATAAGTAGTTAAAGTAATTGTGAACTGTCCTAAAAAATGGCAATTATGTTTGGGTATAATAAGATAATCTTTCAAGTATAATCTTAAAGATAGAATATAGGATAGACCATTGGGCCTCAAGAATGAATTATCTATTATATCTAAATTTAGGCTTCTACTTTGGCTGGAGAAAAATCTCCGCAGGATCCAAGGTTTACCCTAGAACTAATAAATTCTGGAAGGATTCTGCTGAATGGCTTGGATGTCTGCAAGCATCACCATTTCCTGGAAAAATCAATAAAAGTGCTCCACCAGTTAATCTACACACTCAGAGGAGTGGAGGTTTTAATTCTGGATCCTGAAAAATCCACTCTAGAACTGAGAGAAGCACTACATTTCACAATTCGCAGACCTCACGTCATGTTCTTAACAAAGGTTTTTCATATTTCCTACCAAACATTTCCCCATCTGGGAAAGTTGGGGAGAAGCTTTCCTCCTGAACCCTGTATACCTCTTCCCCCTGAGGAGTAAGTAACTCTTTTAAAAAATAACAACAGAAAAGTCAATATCTTACTGCTTCTGTTTTTCTCCACATGCGCATGAGTTTGCCCTTTTGCATGGAGGGGCATGGAAGGGGAGAATGTACACTTCAGGTTAATCCTAGGTGACTTAAAAGAAAAGTGGAACTTGAAATAAAGAATTACTACATTTTTTTTAACTTACATTTGTCTATTATTATTACTACAGGTAATGCTGAAAGCCATCCCTTCTTTCTTGAACTGTTTTAATAGATTGGTGTTTTCAGTTATTCATGAAGGACGACAGAAAGACAAAGGTAATTCAGAGCAGTAGTATGAAATATGCAGTTTTAAGTGTGTTTATCATGTGTCTCTGAGCACATACGTTGCTGAAAATAACACTACCCAGTTGAGTTTAATTAAGAGAAATATTCATATAATATTCAAATAATGAAAAAAAATTTCCAGCTCACCTTTTTTTCACTTTACTATATCCAAAATAGTGACTGCATTTGACATCTTATTGAAATAGTGTTTTCTGGGGGAAAAATGTGTCTAAATTTAGGAAATATTTACTCTCATAGAAAGGGAATAAAAATGACTAGTCTCATTGCTGTACTTAAGGAGTTTATAGTTTAGCATTATTTATTTATTTATTTATTTATTGGACAGAAAGGGGGGATTTATTGAAATACACTGCTGAGAGGAGCAGTGGGCGAGATGGGAATATTTAAATGAAACAGGCCTCATTTTGTAAAAGGGGTAAGTTCCTGAAGCTTGTCTCTTCTTGGCAAGGTCAGATTTGTTTACCAATGAAGCAAACTGCCATATGGCAATAGCATAAATTAGGTGGGCAGCTCTGTTTTTCAATCTTGAAGTTTGTTGATTCCTGCTAAATTTCTAATTTGGAGAAGATCCTCATTATTTAAAAATTTGCATATAAAGTGAAACTGTATTGCTCCATTTCAAATTTGCAAACCACAGAACAGCCTCATACCATAGCATGTGCTGAAACTGAGCGTGAGCACCAGTTACCTGATGGGGGGCTCGGGGTACACAAAGGAAGCTGGCTTAACTCAGAGGGGAGGGTGCTGGGGAAGACCCTGTGGCAATAGTTCTAGACTGGCTAGAAACATTTGAGTGGCACTCAGCTTCTCCCAGTGTGAATCAGTTTAGTAGGTTCAGACCTGTAGATTTGTCACAGCTACTTAATCCAATTAACTTGAGAGAAAAGGTATAGTTATCAGTGGAGTGTAATTTCCAGGTTATTCTGCTTGGTTTGGGGATCAGCCAGTGGCACAGTTGGGTATTTCGCTTGTTCATATACGCCCCGCAGAACGTGTGGCAATGTAATATTGCAAATATATTTAGGAGCAGGATTGGAAAACAGGCTCTGTCTCCTATGCTAGCCTTGGTCAGTCAGTGGTGGTTGCCGATAGCTCTGTGGAGGCCTCTAAAATCATGTCTGAACTCAGCAAGAAAGAATCTCTGTTCTGGCTAGTGATGTCTACCTAGACAGGAGAGCTGGCAATGTAGGGAAGGCTCTCGTAGGCCTTGGTGAGCAATGGTCAGGCAGAACCCTGGTCACAGGCTGTATGTGATTGTAAATGTGTCCTGTGTCTGTTCTGAAGGGCCATGGGGGATAGCACATTCCTTGTGCTCAGCTCTGTGCTATGTCTTTGTTCATGTAGCTCACTCACCTCCACTCTGCCAAGACTCTTTTGTCTCGTGGCTTATCCATGAATTTAGAGTTTTAACCATTTATTCTTTTTGCTGGTATCTAATGCAGTCTTTAACAACCACCCACTAAATCTGTGGATATAATAACATATGCCAGGTATTCATGTTATGAATTGCATATGTATGTTGAGCAGTCTGGAAAAAAGACAAGAAATGGTTTTATATTAGGTGTTAAAGTGCCTCACTATATTGTCTATTGAAATGGCCAGTGATTGTTGACAGTTTGCTTAATTTAACAAAATTCCATCATCTGAAAGATTGCTAACATATAGGAAGTGTGTATGTTGAAAGTCTTAAAAAAGACTGTATATTCTCAAAGTCAAGTTTATTTGAGGTAAAATGTGTAACAAAATAACTATTTAAAGTATACAATGTAGTAGCTTTTGCTAGGTACATACATATAGGACATTTGCATCATTCCCTCTTATAAACCCTTACTCCTTCTGACCCCAATCTCAGACAATCATTGATCTGTTTTTCATCTTAGTTTCCAGAATTTTAAGAAAATGGATATGTCATTCTGCCAAGGAAGGCTCCCTGCCATGTGCTGAGTTTCGTACTCAGACTCTGCTTCAGGGGGCAAGTGGAGTGTGGGCTGCAGGATGTCTTAGACTACAAGCATTCCCAACAGGAGTTTGTTAAGAAGGGCCTAGATGGTCCCGGTGGGAGGAACTAGGAATGAGAAATCTGGGAAGACAGGATATATAGTAATGATAGCTGGGTTTATATCTATCTGCGTATAAAAGAAAAATCTTACACAATTTCTGAAATGTGAAGGCAGAAAGACAATATAATTGGGTCATCTTATTTTAAAGATCATATGATGTGAGTAAATCATTTTGAAAGCATTTTCCATTTTAAACCTTGCTTATAGAGGTCCATCTCCTTTTAAAACACAGTAGCAATCTGAGATTTCATCCTAAAAATCTTGATTGTAGTTAGACTCTTTAAAATCTTATGGACTCTTGTTCTTTTATGTGTTCTTTGTGTATAAATACTTGGACATAGTGTCTCTTATTTTGTCTGCAAATAATGGTTAAAGAGTCTGGAAGAAATGGATGATTTGAGATAATTTAGGGGCTATATTAAAAGTATAAAGAAAAACTACATTAGAAAAGTTACAATGCATGGCTTTTGAAGTAATCAGTTTGGAAACTCTTCTTCCATAGGAAGCTCTGATGACTGGCCAGTGATCCTAGAGTGTGCCCGCCTGGTGGAAAGGATGTACAGCCACATCGCAGCTCGGGCTGAAGAGTTTAAGGTCTTCTCCCCCTTCATGGTGGCCCAGTATGTCACAGAGGTGCAGAAGGTAAACTAAACTGTCTCCCCAGTGCTTTCATTTATAGTTGTGGCCGAGGGTCTCAACCCAGCGACCGGTGGTGTGTTGGTTCTGCTGGTTTGCTTCTTCTTTGTCATGGTGTCCAGCGCACCCGCAGGTAGTTAGCATCCCCCAACTGCAGAGTTACTGTGCGTGCTAAACCAAGTCCCGTTAAAAGGCTGGCAGTGCCGGGTCCATAGAAGATATTCAGGACCTCCTAGATCTCTCTCTGTGCTCTCACACAAGTCCCAGGGCCTGTTTTCTTAGTCTGTAGTGCTAAGGGAGATGAAACATTGCCCAGGTCTGAGGACAAGAGCTTTTGTGGGACCAGACTTAATGGAGAACAGAAAGTGGGGTCTTGGGGTTCCTCTGCAACAGGGGTTCATGGATCTACACTCTGGTGGGGGGGGGGCTGTCATGCATGTACCGCAGCTGCTGTCATATACCCAAGATGACATGGTGGGGATACTGCTAGATTTGCTCAGTTAGAGTAAATAAAAATACTTTTGGCCCAGTGACTGATTTTTGGACTCAGTATTATGGATAATCAATTCATTGTTCAATAGTGATTTCACTTTAGAATGTCAGTGCACTATTTTCAAAGTTCCTCTAGACCCTATGTGACCCACAGGGTCATGACAGTATTTCATATCTTATTTTGTCTCAACTGAATGTTAGAGGATGAACGTACAGTGTGTTCATGTGTGTATCTATGTGCGTGTGTAGACATGCATTTATACTGTTTATATTGTTTTACATAGAAAAACCATTCTGACCTGGTTCACTCTAAAAATCTTGTAAAATTAATGGTAAGTCCACTGGTAAACTTGTCATGTTACAGATTTCTGCATTTCTCGGCGGGGGGTGGGGTGGGTAGAATTGGGCTTCCTCAGCAAACCTGACCCCATTTCAGGATGGATCTAGAACTATAAAATAATTTTCCAGCCCACTGTCTCTGTTTGCCACAGCCAGTGGCCATCTCTGTCATACATGGCAGGTAGTGGGCTGGGTGGGGAGCTGGGAGACACTGGGGAGGGGGGGATGGGCAGTCCAGCCCAGGGGTGTGCATGGGGTGCCCACCAGGTATCGTGTGCATAAGAGCTGCCCTCTCCATGCCCCTCTAGTCATTGTTGGAATGAGATGTGGTCTTGGAATTTGGCTTCCTTGAAATTATTTAGTATTTTTATAGAATCTTAATATTTCTCAAGTACTCAGTCATTAATTTATAAGCTTTTGCTGAAAGAACAGCTGCCATTCTTTTCTGTTTTGCTGAAGAATAAAATGAGACATAGTGCTCTCACCTCACTGTAGGGATCAAGAAGGAAAGCAATAATTTGAACCCGTAAGATCACTAATTATTATTCTGAAATTCACTTGGATTTCCTGGCCTTATTATTTATGTCTATGCTCATCAGTTTTGTTTTGTTTTTTAACTTCTGACTTGGAAGCCAAAGGTCTTGGAGAGTTATCAAAGGCCGTAGCATCCCAGAATCCATTGGCAGGACAGTCTATAGCTTTCATTTATTTTTAGTTTGGCAACACAGAAAATATTCCATATGCATTAGAGGTTGCTACTGAGAAAACCATAAGTCTTTCTAGGCCAGAAAGACATTTATAAGTTTAATCAAACACCAGATAGCAAGTATAGCTAAATAAATCTCCTTTGTACTCCCCTACTATTTCTGTGGTGTGGAGGTGTTGGTGAGGGGTCTGTTGGGAGCTAGGATCTGTGAGACTCGTCAGTGAGAAGCAGTGACTCCTGCAGACCTCCTCCTGCCCAAGCAGTCACCCTAGAGGCGTGTCAGGACAATGATGGCTGCTGTTATCTTCCCTTTTACCCATAGATCTTCTTTGCAACTGCCCCCTGTGCTGCTAGCTAGAGCGCTGTACTCTTACCAGGGTCCTTTGAAACTACTTAGAGATGTTTTCATTCATTGATCAATGATCTTACTGTTGTAGAAATTGACATTTTTTTTTTTTTTTAATACGAGTTGTCAGAACCTAAAGGTGTGAGTAGTTGTGTAGTCTCAACACCTCTGGCCTTCCTGGTACCTGCCAGAGCTCTGTGTTCTGCCTGTATTTTCACTATTGAGATACCATGAAAGAGAACTGTGATGACTATGGGCTCCAGACTCAGACCGCCTAAATTTAGATCTCTGTTCTGCCATCATGAAAGTTTCTTTACTCCTTTTTTTTCCTTCCAGTTTTATTTATATATTTTACACTGCTGTTCATTTTTGTATAGTGTTTAATTTCTTTTCTCAGGTGTTAGCCCCATAAAATTACCACCACTAAGACACCTATGACCCATCACCACAGACTCTGTGCTCTTCCCTCCCATTTTAACCGGCCTCTGATGTCTCCTACTTATTGTTTGCCTGCTAGTTTTGTCTTTTTTTCTCCTGATCCCTTGTATGTTTTCCCTGTGTTCCACCTGTAGGTGAAACCACCTGATATTTTCTTTTCCTTCTGACTTATTTCACTGAGCATAATCCCTTCCAGCTTCATCTGTTTCGCTGTGAATCGCATGAGTTTAGCTTTTTTGATTGCTAAGTAGTATTCCATTGTGTGCACATACCACATCTTCTTGATTCAGTCATCTGGGGGGCATTTGGGTTGTTTCCATATTTTAGCTATTGTAAATAGTGCTGCAATGAACATAGGACATTTCACTCCTTTTCGACTCTTTGAAATGTAATTATTTGTTTGGTGAATGATGAATGGAAAATGAATGAGCAAGCAACTTTAAAATTTCTCACACTACTAGTAAAATTAAGAACTTTTTTTGTTTTCTTGGTTTGTTTTATTTTTTCTTTCCCTACTTAATACCCTAACTGTGACATCACAGACAAGCCATTCTACCTTTGATCCTTGAGTGTTCTTAACATCTCTGAAACACTAAAATTTAAGATGTTCATCTGTCAAAAAAGCTTTTGAATTACATGAAAATGACCATAATTTTGGAGCATCACATTATCTTAATGACAGAAGCAAATGGCCTCTTTAGGAATCTACCTCCTACTGGTTGCCTTGGTGAATCAAACTTTCTCTAGTTAATAAAAGATGTCCTCACTGGAAGCCATGTAATTTGCAGAGAGGCATTAACTCCTCCACGTTATCAGGACATTAAGAAAGCATCAGCCAAATCCGAGGCCTGTCAACTGGAACCTTCTTACTGCTTTTTGGTGTTAGCTCTTGGGGTGCTCAGATTCTGCTCAGCACTAGGTTCAGCTGAGCCTTTTGTAGCTGTGGCAGATGTGAATAAAAGTTGTTCTTTTGGCTTTTTAGATGTTGCCTGAATCTGTGATCTGAAAGTTTGTGTGCAATATCACCTGATACAGTCAAGTTGGAGCTGGACTGCCCACTCCTCCTGGGCCCCAGATTTAATCAGCCCAGAATTTCAGGAAAGATTTCGGCACAGAGTGCTATCCAGCCATTCTGTGCCAGCTAAGAGTTTAGGGCCCATTGTGCTACAGTTGCCAGAAATAAAAATACTAAGTGGTAGTCATAAATCGCATCTGATGCTGGATAATATAGTGAGACCTAATTACACTAATATAGGCCTAGCAGTGATCTGTTTGGAGAGTATCAGAGCCACCCACCTTGTAGTTGGTGGGGGAAGGGGTTTTGTAGTAAACTTTGGATATGTAGTTAACTTTGCTGTAGTGGGTAGTATAGCTTCTAGCCTGATTGACCATGTGGAACAATTTGACACAAAGTGCAGGTACTTGTTGCAGGATTTTCAAATTTAAAGATTCCAGTTTTTAAATGCCCTAGAAAACACAAAGCTATCATTTATTGAATGGCAGAGCTACCACTGTGATTTTGTGATGTTTACATCCAGGTTTTTGTTTGAGTTGGCTTCTTTTTCTCCAAAATATAAACTGTCAAGATATGAATATTCAATTATTTAAGTTCTGTGCAAAATGATATTTTAAAAAGTATGTCTTTTCTCAAGTTGGAGGCAGAAGTGAAATTCCTAGCCAGGCCTGGAGGGCTCGGTGACTGCCTGTTTGCTGTCACAGAGCAGTGTCTTCTTTTCCCAGGTCACCTTGTACCCAGCGGTGAAGGGCCTTCTGCAGGAGGGCATTTATCTCATCCTGGACCTCTGCATTGAGCCAGACGTCCAGTTCCTACGGGTGTCACTGCAGCCAGGACTGAGAGATGTCTTTAAGGAGCTGCATAATGACTATATGAAGTACCACAAGGCGAAACAAGAAGGCGAAAGGAGATACACGGCGTAAGGCTTGTCCTGGCAGTGCTGCTGGTGCTAGAGAGGCTCTGCCCATGCTCTGCAAGGTGGAGAATGACAGCTCTCAGATCTTGGGATTCGCAGTGTTGAAATATGTGGAAAACACCGTTGGGTTTATATGTTTATATTTTATGGTATGTTTTTCACACTAAGTATTTTTTTAACATTTTTTTTGTACACTGAATATTGTAACAGATACCTGAAAATAGACCTTGGAATGAGGTGAACTCAATAAAAAATTGCTGACTCTCTCTCATGGCAGTCCCAGAGGTGCTGCCCATCTCCACCTGTGCTTTGGTGTCCCTCTCCCCACTAGGACATATTTGGAACTTGTTTTTTACTTTAGGTACCTGGTGATGTGACTCAGTTACATTTAAATGGCTTTGCTTTTCCTTTCTTCAAGTAACTTGGGAAGTGTTCTTGAAGTGCCACTTTTTCTGCCTTCCCTCTGCGTATATTTTCCAGTGGTACTGGGGAGAGTTAACGCTTCGTGACTGTGGGAGCTGCGGTGCCTGCTCCCAGCAGGAGAGGCACCGGCACGCAGGCAGATGCTCTTTGGTAAGGGCGCTGGGCTCCGGCTCTCCTGTCTGCTCTTTCTGCTTCCACTCAGTGAAGTTTGTTTTGGAATTTTTTTCCTTCTATTCAGAGTGAAAAATAATTTTAATATTTTTTATTACCTAAGCAATATTTTTCATTGTAACAACCTCAGAAAATAAAACTAAAAGGGAAGAAATTTAAAACACAGTCTCAGCTGTTTGGAAAGCTGCTGTCACCTCCTTGGATACCTTGTTTTCATGTCTTGGTGTGTGTGCATGTGTGTAAATATATGGTTATGTGTAATATATATTATTGCCAAATTGGATCATAAATATGTTTTTTCTTACTTTTTTTTGGTTTTAGTTACTTAATATTTTTCCTGTTCAATATTCCAGAAACATCTTTTCCATGAAGATGTTTGCCATACTTTTTAAAGGTTGTGTAGTCATCCATTGAGTTGACGCAGCTCTTTTATTTAATAAATCCCCCATGCTTAGTCTTTTCAAACTTTCTTTTACGGTTAGTGCTTATAGCTAAATCATCCCTTCTGTCTTTAGTTGTTTCCGTAAGAATGCCGGTAGGTTGTATTGCTTGTCAAGGAATCTTACCAGTTTTTAAGGCTTTATATAAATACTACCAAATTGCCTTCCAGACAGTACACTAATTTATTTTCCCATTAGTGAATCATTTTGAACAATATTGATTTTCTTTGTTTTATGCATCCTTGGTAGAGAAATGTTACTTTTTTTGATTAATTACCAAGTGATTATGCATTTTTAATATTTATTATTCTGTAAATTATGTTTATATAATTTTTCCTTATTTAGCATTAGTTTCTCAATTAGGATTTTTGCTTTTTTTTTTTTTTTACTATGTTTATGAATTCATGTTGGAATTCTAAGGGCCTTTTTTTTTTAAAGTTTTTTTTTTTATATATAAGAACTGGAGTGGGTATAGGTCAGAGGTGCCTGGAGGTGAGGGGATTCACCAGAGACAGAGTGGGGAGCAGAACAGGCAGATCTACTGAAATACACTGCTAAGGGGAGCAGCAGGCGAGGCAGGAGAGGTCTGCTGCGCCATGTGGGTCACTTCCCTGGCTGGGGATTGAACTCTTGCTGCAGTGGTTGGCCATACCATAACTTGATAGTGCTGAGACTTTGACACTTGTGCCAGTAGGGAGACTAAGGACCCTTTCTTAATAAAAATAAAGACAAATTAATTGGAAGGATTGTCCTTAAGAAAAGGGCTTTTTTTAAAAAAAAAAAAAACTACATTTATTTCAAGCACAAGTGATTGGAACAGACAATATAAAATGGAGTTTTGGCTGCCTGAGAAATTTTTCATGCCCCAAATTTGATTTTATTTCTTGCATTTGCTTACTGAGTCTGGGAGATAGTTCTGCTTTGCATTGCTACATGTTTTATCCATTTCCTCCTCTCTGTCTAGATTGTGTGTGTAAAGGCAGTCTGGTTAACTCGTAACCAGAAATGGGTTGGGGGTGGTCTGGCATCCTTATGCCTAGTCCTTGTATTGATGGAACTCTCTCTGTTCTGAATTCCCAGCAGGAGCCTTCCGAGAGGCTGAGGACATTATTACTTGTTCACACCTGGTGTGTTGGAGCAAGCAGGTGACCTTTCAAGGACACAGGCTATAAACAAAGCTGGAATTAAAACTGCATTTTTGCTTTTCCCCTTTTCTTCAGGTGCCCAGAAAGGAGGATTACTCATCTCAGAGACCCTCATACAGTAGTGCCTGTTTTTTTCTCTGCTAAAAGTTCACGAAGCAGGAGGTTAGCAATAATTCTTTTCCCACTGCTTTCAGAGTGTTCCGGGGGTGCAGACAAATGTGGAACAATTCCTCAGGTGTCCTGATGGTGGCAGTGCAGGGCCACAGCTAAAGCTTTGAAGAGGGGCTCTGAGATGTCTGGTTATGATGAGCTCACCTCCTTGGGAGGAAGGGAATGAGGGAAAGAAGACGGGCAACTCCACGTCCTTCTGCACAGTTCAAATGTTCTGTCTCTGCATTATTTCCATTCTTGAGAAAAGCTGTCCTGATTTCCTCATAGTCATTTCTATGTGAACTCTAAGCCTTCCTCAGGAAAGAATAGTTTTGAACTCTATCTTATAGATTAATAGGGAAGAAGAAACATTTTCCTAGTGGCAATAAGGGAAAATATATTGTCTTTTCATTATCACAGGGAACCTCACAAAGAGGGTTGTCCCAGGCCAGCAATCTGCATGGCAGAGTTGGGGGCTCATGGGCTGTCAGTGAAAGACCAGGCATGACCAAGCCCCTGTCAGAACAAGCCCCGTCATGCTGTGGCACCAAGCCCCTCTCCCTTGAAGGCCTGTGCTGTTCATTCATTCCACAAATAGACATTGATTTCCTCTCTACTGTGCCAGCTGCTGGGGCCACAGTCCATCCTCATGGAGCCTGCTTTTTGGCAGGGCACACTGATAAAAGGACTAGCCATCAAATAAGCACCATCATTCCAGAGGGGGATTGTGAAGGGTAGGAAGCAAAAGAAGACACGTGTGGGGACTGGGACAGGGACATTGCGCTGGGGGTGCCTGAAGTGAGGAGCAGGCCTTCCAAGATAGGCTTTCGGGAGGACTGCTCTGAACTCACTTGTCAGTCTGGTTTGGCTGAGAGTGGGACTGGAAGGGAGGGACAGAAGGGAGGGCATTGGAGGAGAGAAGGCTTGATGTGGGGCCGCTGTCTGGGATGGTACTTTGCTGGGGGCTGCCATGAAAGGCCCTGGATGATGACACATCAAGTGGCCACAAAAAGAAGATAGCAGACAGTGACATTTCAAGCCTTGACCTTACGCCCCGCATTCATGGGCTACAACAGATGGGTTGTCACAGCCTGTCTTCCTTACAGTTTCCCCAAACATGGACTCGCCACATCATCTCACCTGCTTTCTTGCCTCACCCTCCCTGCTGTTCTTTGTGGAAACCTGGCCCGATGCTAAGAAACAATGAAAGCTTAAGAAGAAAAGACCCGTCAAGGAGGGTCTGTGTGTGCTTGGAAGGCATCCAGGCTGAAAGTGTCCATTTTTACCCGGTTTCTCATTTTGAGCTTCAGAACAATTCACGGAGGTTACTTTGATTTGTTGCCAGTGTGCCAGGCTACAACCCTGTCTCTTTTGTCTAATAAGCTCACACCGTTATGCCTAAAGCCTCATGAAATCCACTGGAGGCAGTGGTTGTATCATTTTTGATTCTTTATTCCCTCGTGTGTCTTCCTTTCTCTTTGTCATTTCACTTTCCTTTTTAAGGAGCTCAAGATCCTGCCCCAGTTCTTCCTTTTCCTCCTCAACTTGCATTGTATGTAACAGCTTTCTCTTTGATGGGTGTTGCTTTTCTAGCCCTGAGCCGCTGAGCCAGAGGGATAGCTTGTTCCCTAGGTCTTTCTGGACACGGCTGTCATCGCTCAGCAGCTTTCGTTCCCACATTCTCTCGCTGGAACACGAGTCAGTGTCTGACGCTTCCAGCTCTCTCCTTGCTGGCAACTGACTCTGTTCCCAGTCTCACCTCTTGTTTCCTGCTGGCATTCTGTGTAGCCTCAACAGCCACAATGAGGGTCCTTTTGACACCCTGCCCCCATGTTTCCTGGGATCTCCACCTCTGCTCTCTTTCAGCGTCAATCACTGACATCTGACCTCCCACTGGAGTCTCCTCACTGGGCTCTTCTTGGCTTCCCACGCCTCCAGCAGTGAGCATCCTCTACCCCTTGCTACCAGTTGGTTCGCCCTAGCATCCCTCTACCCAGTGTGTTCCCTGTGGCCACCTTGTCTGTACTCTCACTAGTGTCCCAGCATCCTTAACATCTCCCTCTATTAGCTGCTGTCACTTTCCTAACACTGCAGATGCCCCCGATTATCCTGTTTCCTCCCCGCTCCTGGAGGCCAAGTCTGTTGCAAAAGGAAGTAATGAGATCATAATGAGGAGGTGCCACAACAGCCCAGTCTTTCTCCTCAGCTGGATCCACTTTTTTCATCAGTATCAGAAAAGAAGTATCCATGAGGCAGTGTAGTTTCAAGATGTCACTTGGCAGTGACTGGATTATTAGAATGGTCTTAGTATGAAGAGGTTGGTTGCCGAATATGTTAGGGATGAAAGAAGGTCTGTAATCTGTTCTGTAGTGGACACAACTGATAGGAGTGGGAGAGGGTTTTCATTACGAGGAGGGCGGAGGAAACTGACTCGGCAGAAAAGGGCACCAGCCGTGCCTTGTGCAGCAAAATGAGGCACCCTGGTGTCTGGGATGAGAAACAGTGTCAGAAGACGGGACCGCGGGCCCCCTAGCGGTGAGCGCCCGGCCAGTTGCCACAGCGGTGATAAGCCGCACAGCTGCAAGGGTGGGCTCCCTGCCAGGTCTCCTGGGGCCTGGGGCCGCTCTCAGACAGGTGACTGATGTTGTACGTCGTGCTGTGGCCTTGGACGTCTGGCCTACTCTGGGCCTGCGGCATGTTCTCTACACCTTTTTGGGCTTTTGTCACATTTTATCAACCCCTTTTCCAATCTCTTCGCAGTACCCCTCAGTCTCTTGAATCTCTCACTTTCTGCTCCCATATACAGGGAAAACCCTTAATCTAAAATATCTGCATATAGATTTTGTTATTCCCCAAATCACCACCAGCTCCTTCTTTTGACCGCCAGCCACATTTAGGAATAGCCTGCATTTGTTCACATTCACCACTCTTTTACCTTGGTTACCTTCCTCCTTGAAACAGCCCTCCGAAATATAATGGGGTCAATTTTAGCCACCCAGAGTCATGACTATGTGGCTGTCCTTGGTCTTCACCTCTAACAACTTTGGCTCATTGGACCCACCAGTGACTTTTCCCGCTCTTCTATCTCCAGGGTGCTGGGTCCCTCCAGTGGTTTCTTTTTTTTTTTTTTAAACCTCCCTATCTTAAAATACTAGTGTTCCCCTGTAGGGTAGGGTAAAAAGTATCAGGCTTTTCTGCCCTCCTGCCATTAGGATAGATGACGGATCTGTGGTCCCGAATGCATGCCTGATGGCGGGCACCTGGAATAGGGTGTGGGCAAATGTAGATGGGATTCACCGGGCCTAAGACTTGGCTTTTAAGGGAGGCGTCATGGAGATGCCAGCAGGAGCAGAGAAGCCGAGAGAGAAGCAGAGCCATGAGAAGAGCAGAGAGAATGTGAGAGAAGGCCGGAGAGCCCAGAATGAAGACTTGCTGGGGGCTGGGAGGCATGCCAGCTTCCCGGGTCCCCAGCACCCCTGCCTGCCGTGTACCTGGTAATTCCAATAAAAGCCTGCAAAAGTCACTGAGGGCTCCAGGACTCCTCCTTTACCCGGTCTGCTGGATCAGAAAGCCTGCTTCGTGGCCATTCCTGCCTTTACATCCCCAAAGATCAGTCCTTGGCGGCACTTTCTTGACCTTCCTCTCCACCCCTTCTGCTTCAGTTGCTTCAATGCAAATCTCTCCCAGACTTCCTTTCCTACTTATTGACTCTCCTTGTCTCTTGAGCTAACAATCTGAGAGAACACACTGATTTCTCACAATTACTTTCTGGGATATTATCTAGCTCTTTCCTTTGGTCTGTGCGCTCCTCGGCATCTCTTTAGTTGCTCCTGCCTTCCCTACTTCCTCTCTCTGCCTCTGGCTACCCATCCCTATATTGTTTCTAAGTAGTG